TAAGTCAAACGAAATTAGGTTCATCCTACAATTTTCCATGATGTTTGTTCATCCCAACGAAGATACCACTATATAATGCGCTCCTCACTTCCTTGACCTTGCCTAAAGGAACTATAAGAAAAAAAAACACACAGTTTCATGGTTAAACTTAATCCAACAACTTTTGTCAATACTTGAGATATTCTAATGAATGGTCAAATTTTAAAAAATCACTAAGTCTTGTGACGTCATTTTAAATAAGGCTCAACTCTCTTGCAGAGCTGACATCTTTTTGCCTGAAACCTATTTGGGACTTTAAAACTTTTTAGAAAAAAAAATTTAAATGGCTTGCTGTTATGTTACATAATTGCGACTTATGTTGGGATGTGGCTCTATTTGACTTTACGTGTAACGCCGCCTTATTTGTTCTAGAACTCTCCGAACGTCGACGACAACTCTTCGGCACGACCACGGTCACCACGACCCCCAGGATGACCACAGCTGTCACAATCCGACGTCTGGAAACATTAGCGCCCAAACATCACCATCTGGTGTACCCAGACCCTCACGCCTCTAGCAACGTGGTCAAAGACAAGCACCAGACATACGGACAACATAATGGCAAGAAAACTGGTAAGTAAATAACTAGAGAACAAGACTATCTAACAGGGAAAGGGTGGGGGAAGTCAAACAAATATGTGTGGGGTTAAGTGCGATAAAGCGCTTGGCTCCCTATTTAAATGGATTGAGCTCAAATCCCCTGTTTGCTGAGACTCCGAATACTGCACGAAAACTTTCTCACAGATACACTCCTTCCAGACAGGTCCCCAAAAGAAATTAGACCATAGCACACTGAGGATGCTATAGTTACAATTTAGTATGACACAGTGATGTCCAAAATACGGCCCGCGAGCCATATCCGGCCCACGATGTGGCTTCATCCGGCCCGCCGAAACGATGGTAAAAAGTGTAGAAAATCCCCTCTCATTAAAAAAAGTTTGAAAAAAAATTATCTTGCTCTACGTTAGGGTAAATGGATTGATACCGATATTAAACATCCATATCTTGTTTTATTAAGATAGAGTCGCTCTTTTAAAGGACATACACAGCTTTGTGAAACCAACCACACAAATAAATGAATCGGCATTTTTGGTTTGAGATGCGAACGCTTCAAAAAGGAGAATTGATGAGAATATTTACCAAAAAGGACCATTTTCCTATGGCGAATGCATAAAAAAGTGTTTGCTAGCAGAGATGGAAGAACTGTGTTCTGAAAAGAAGAATCCTGTTGATGTTGTCAACCTTTCTCTTGACAATACAAGGCGAGAGAAAGATAAGGGTAGATATCTCCCTCCATTCAAATGTAACAGACAAACCAGATTTCGAAATGTTTTCTATTGCCTCTGACGAGTCTACCGACATACATGATACCGCTCAAAATCTTGGTATTTATTCGTGGTAAAAATAACATTTTGAAATTAGAAAAGTTAGTAGCTATGAGGAGCATGCATGGGACCACCACTAGCAAAGTCCTGTCTAACTTTCAACTATCACAGAGGATCTTTTTTTTTACTTGTAGAAATTAGTGGGAGTGACTACTGAAGGGGCCACAAGTATGGTTGAAAGCAAGAGTTATTAGAAAAGTTGTTTAGTCAAATGGAACCGAGCCTCTGTGGCTTCAATGAATGGCTCACCAACAAAATCTATGTGGCAAGGTATCAAGTCTGGACCATATGAGGATGATTGTGATCTGATTGAACAAAACTCGTGGTTTTTGAAAATCCATCTGCGGCCAATGTTTCAAGTGCCCAGACAGAGCTGAAACTGGAACTGGTTGACTTACGAAGCTAAACATGCCTGCTTGACAAATTTTAAGTGATTCAGATCATGGATTTCTACTCTGTGTTGCTTGCAGAAACATTTCTAAATATCCGAAAACAAGCGTTCACGATGATAACAATAATTACTTCTTTGTGAGAACAAATGAATCGTGTGACACCCATATTATGTAATAGTCTCATGACGAGGAGGCGCGGTAGCTGAACGGAAAGTGCTTGGCTTCCGAACCGGAAGTACCGGGTTCGAATCCTGGTGAAGACTGTGATTTTTATTTTTGTGATCTTTGGGCGCCTCCGTGTCCATTCAGCTTTAATGGGTACCTGACATAAGTTGGGGAAAAGTAAAGGCGGTTGTCGTCGAACAAGCCACATGACACCCTCGTTAACCGTATCCACGGAAACAGAGGACCATCATCTGCCCTATATACCACAAGGCCTGAAAGGGGAACTTTACTTATACTCGCGGATGAACATATAGAATTCTAGATTTAAGGCTCCAACTCGGCGTCTCATTTATGCAACCGGATATTTAAAAGTTGGTTTAGGATAAATTTCTCATGAATCAATGTAAGTACTAGATTTTACAAGGTTTTTAATAAAAATAGTTTATTGTTTTGTTTTTGTTTTTGTTCATGTGGACCGTGACACGACTGTCGGAAATTAAAATGGCCCGCCGACCGAATAAGGTTGAGCATCACTGGTATGACAGATGCGCTATGAAATAATGTACTCTGCTTAGGTCTCAATAGGTAACAGACATGCGCCAATAGGATATTTACCCGAAGAACTGGAGTCAATGTGTTTTTTCTGGATAGTCCAGAAAGTAGACACTGGTTGCGATCAATGACATACAGAAGTGACTTTTAAAATATAGGAGTGAGTAATTTAGTCCAAGCACTTTGATGGCTTCCAATCCAAATGTTCAGGAAACCCTCTCACACAACTTCTGCTAGTAATACGTCTTCATTTTGTTGGCTGATTGGCTACAGCCAACTGGTTCTCAAAATGTACAGCTCACTATCAGATCGAGCTTATTTTTGTTGTAATTTTTTCTAAATGAAACAGCATTAAATTCATTCTGCCAAATGTCTCTAGTACTTCTTTCCGACTGTGTCGCAGTTTCCCCTCAAAACATCAAACCTTAATGGACTTTAGAAAGAGTACATGAACAAACAAAAAACTTGTTCCCTATTCAACTCAGACAAACTGCATAATTGATTGTGTTAAAGAAGAATATTAAGACTTCATCATCATCTTTCCCTTAACTGACGTCATAGGGGTGATGTGTAAGTTTTCGTAACCGAATTCCTTCATTCATCAGAAACTGGTTTTAGCAGGATATCAAGGGAGAGGTCGGTCCATTGTTTTATTTACTAAAGAATTTTGTTTGTTTCGGACAATCTTTCTTCGTGCTCCCTCCACTGTACCTTGTAGGATGACACTGAGTCTCCATTGTGTTTGTTAACATAGCAATACATGAAATTGTTATAAAATAATTGTTATAATTATGCACTATGATTAATTTTCAACACGACTTAGTTATTTTTTTTTGTTCTACTTCTAATTTCAGATTTCAGTAACTCGAGGTCTGATTCAGGTTGCTCAGATGTGGCGCCAATTGGAATTCATTACGTCATTGCTACGGTCGTATGTCTAGTTTTGCAAACAGTTAGCCTCAAAGGTTCTATTTACTCTCCGCCCCAGCATTCGTGACGACGGAATCACTCAGCAAGATGAAAACAAACAAACAGTTTCTCATGACGTCATCATCGTTTTTGTTCGCCTCATAAACAGTACAGATCACGTGACAGTCATTTCAAGTACAAGACTCTACGAAGGCAATGCAACGATTCCTAGATCTCGGTTTAAGTGTCTGTACATAGTTCTTGAAGAGTTCACACCTTCAGTTCGAGGGAATATGTTACACCAGCAAAACTCTTTTTTTTTTCCATTGATATATTGTTGAAGACAACTAAGGACATTTTTTTTCATAAAAAAATATGTCAGTTGTTCCTTTGTCGTGTTAATTTAAAAAAAAAAATGATTTCGATTTGAATCTGGTTTATTATATGCTCTGCTTATTTTGTCATCTTAACAATGTCTGTAGCTTTGAAACAGAGTCTCGTTGTTGTTGAAGCAGTGTCATGTTTGTCTGCAATCGTGTGATATGTCAACTTCTGTGGCATTCGACAAAACGGGTGGATCGACATGTCTTGTCATCGCTGTTTATGTTGTCATCTGAACTTTTGGCCTCTGACCTCTCAACTTTTTCAGTTTGTCTCTTTTTCTATGACTTACTTCTTTATTGTTATGTTATCTAATATGCCAAGAAAGCTATGGAAAGCGAAAGAACATGGGCCTCAGCCCTTTAAGAAAAACGGACAATGCGAAAAATGGCCAGCTCCTCTACCACCGAAGCAAACGCCACCATAACCTGCGATATTTGTGGACGGGAGTGTCTCTCCAAAATTGGGCTCCACAGCCACAAGAGGAAGTGTGCGAGATGAACCAGAGACGTTCTAGGACTGAAGGAGACCAATGAATGAATGAATGATCGAACAGGCTATATCTAATAACCTACAGACGTTCCTCAAAAACAGTCTCAGGCTCTAAGCCAAATCCAATATTTTCAATATATACATCTCAAGCTTCTTCGCTGTACATCTCTATCAAATCTTCCTTTTAATCTGAAACTTGACCTGGGTTCAATTTATACATTTAATCCTTAAGTCAACTTTGAACTAGTCATGTGTACACCATCATTGCAACTTCTGTTAAGTTTCCCCTGTATATTACAGATGACCTTTCTGGGTGCCAGTTTTTCTGCCGGGTCATTGTTACAATCTGTGAGTTTGACTAACCTAGTGGACGTTAAAGACTGGTACCACAATAGTAGGCTTGACTGATCTGGGGGACATTATAGACTAGTACCACAATAGTAGACTTGACTGATCTGGGATACATTATAGACTAGTACTACAATAGTAGACTTGACTGATCTGGGATACATTATAGACTAGTACCACAATAGTAGACTTGACTGATCTGGGATACATTATAGACTAGTACCACAATAGTAGACTTGACTGATCTGGGATACATTATAGACTAGTACCACAATAGTAGACTTGATTGATCTGGGATACAATATAGACTAGTACCACAATAGTAGACTTGACTGATCTGGGATACATTATAGACTAGTACCACAATAGTAGACTTGACTGACCTGGGAGACATTATAGACTAGAACCACACTAGTAGACTTGACTGATCTTTGAGACATTATAGACTGGTAACACAATAGTATCTTGACTGACCTGGGGGATCGTTATAGACCGATACCACAATAGTAGACTTCTCTCAATCTGATCGTCTTGTTAATCTAATGCTACTTCATCCCCTATTATTCCCTTACTAGTATCCTATCCTATAGCTCTATTTGTTTTAGAAAAATAAAATCCTTTTAGATCTCTCTATTTTTAAATTCGTTTTAAAATTAAAAAGCACAAGGATCATACAATTATAACCCATTTTAAAATAAGTATGATACTAACCATTTACAAAATAGAAAAGTACATTTTAAAATGTCTATGTAAAGTGTCACTATCAGCAATGTCTATGATAAATGTTCTTATAGCTTTGGTTTTATGTCTCTAGCCTACACTTTGTTGTTTAAACAAATGTTGAATGTAGTTTCCTAGTTCAAGACACTCTCTCATTTTGTACTCGACAAAGTAAAATATCAAACTTTTTAGTCCTAGGTTTTAAACATTCACAATTATTTCGTTTTAAAATCTTTCACAAATCAAAATATTTCTCAAGTTTTATTAGTTGATCTAATTTATTTGTTCTTAACATTCCAAACATTTGTTTAGGTCAAATGGATTCTGATATGTAAAGAACTACATGACAGATGAATATTTAAAACATTAATTTTGTATTTACTTGAAACTAATCAATGCTTTTTTTGCTGTCTTTATTTCTCTGCATGCAGACATAAAGTCTTTCTTCTTCTTATTGTGTAGTCCATGTTGATCATTGGGTTAGTTTTGTAAGTAAATATTTATTGTTTGATACTGTCTGAATACAAACTTTGTGTGTCTGTGTATGATCTGTAAGTATATCCTTACTTTCTTTGTGTCTGTGTATGATCTGTAAGTATATCCTTACTTTCTATGTGTCTGTGTATGATCTGTAAGTATATCCTTACTTTTTATGTGTGTCTGTGTATGATCTGTAAGTATATCCTTACTTTTTATGCGTGTTTGTGTATGATCTGTAAGTATATCCTTACTTTCTATGTGTGTCTGTGTATGATCTGTAAGTATATCCTTACTTTCTATGTGTGTCTGTGTATGATCTGTAAGTATATCCTTACTTTCTATCTTTGTAAACAATGCAACGTTTCTCTATTAGAGGTCAACAAAAGCCAAGCTAGTTTTTCAATATTCGAGAGAGGTTGCCACCTAGAGCCAGTCATGAGATTACTAACAGTCCCTTAAACTACTAAAGAAGAAATTCGAAAGAGTATCAAATAGCAATCGGGATCCACGATGACCTGCTGACCGCTGTAAAAGAAAACGCAAACTAAAACTGTATAGCCATATAACAAGGTCCTCTGGGCTTACAAAGACCTTCCTGCTGGAAAGGAAGAGACGGTCCGCGAAAGCGACTGGAAAACAACATCAAAGATTGTACAGTCCTGTCATTGAAAAAGACTCTAGTCAAGACAAAAGACAAAAACGGTCCAACAGACCAATTGGCATATAAACGTTAAAGCTGAAGCTGCAGAATAAATCCTGTCCAGTTTTTAACGATCTTGGAGCCAGGAAACAGAATCAGTAGCTAAACACGTGACCAATTTGAAGGGTCGCTTCACATATAGAGCAGTGAGCAATACAACTAACACTTCAGCTTTTACAGACAACTGTGTGAAGTGGACATATCTCGACATGTGTATACTTGTATGTTTTGTGTGTGTGTCAATTGTCTGAATAAAAATAAAATTTGGCTATTGTTCTATTTTTAGGATTAATAAAATGTATCTTACATATCATGTTGTTCAACTTTCGATGCAGCCGAACATCCAATTAGCGAACACTGATACTCAAATAAAAATGTATTACAAAGATAAAGGAAGAGTGCAGTATTTCACATGAGTAGGCAGACCCAGTTGTGACAAGCACATTTCGTCACATCTAACGCAAGACAATTGTCCCTCAAGGTTGACTATACATAGAAAGTTTTTGAATCCTATTAACTGTGAGATGAAAAGAGCGAATTATCTAAATGAGTTTCGGATATCTGGTATAAAACTAAACTTTATGTACTTTTGGTATATTCCTTTATGTCCGTTTTTTTAATCGGTAAATAGATGTCTCGTTTTTTTAATTCAATAAGTCTTTTGAGTGATAAATACTTCTTGTATTTACATTGACTTTGTGTATTACTTGTATTGATCCATCTGTATTGTGATTCATTACTCTTATAGTTCGAAATGATGCATCCATTTTGTTGCTGAGTTTTGCCTGCGTGGCACGTAAAGGCCCTAAATCACCTGAACCCATTTCCTAATACACTATTGATAGAGTCAATGTTTTGACCATGTCCGCATTGTTCATTGTGTTTGTATTAGATCTACGGTCACTACTCTTGTATTATATACAGTCTACTTAGAGCGTGTTTCTCCTACTTGTGTTTCTATACTTTTGATGTTCAATCTACTTGTAATATGTTAACAGTCCATTTGTAGTTTGTCTATTCTGCTTGTAATGTACTAAGTCTGTTTGTGTTGATTCTATTTGTAGTTTCTTCATTCTACTTGTAGAGTTGCTATAGCGACCGTGTGGTTCAATTAGTTTTACATTTTGATTAGAGACTTTGTATGTTACGTCATAAAGTTATGTGGTTCCGCCATGTTGACCATCTACTGATTTGTACATACATTATCTATATATATATATTAATGACCACAATTTTACTGTTGACCACATTTTAAGTCACTCTACAGATGTGGATACACATTATTCTTGCTAAAAAAATACTTCCAGTGAGTTGTTTTTTTAATTAATTGATTTAAAAATGTTAAATGTTCTTTTAAATTCTATTCTCTAAACAGTACATTTTTTTTCTTAAATGTGTGTTTTTAATAATGAACTGAAGGTCATTTAAGAAATAACTTTTATTTAGTTGAATAGTTGTGACATCAGTAAGATGAATCTTATTGGTTCCATCTTAAAGTCACTTGGTTTAGATACAGAATTTGTCTTTGTTGTAGTTTTTTCTTTCTTTCCTGAAGTATCACCATGGAAATCAAATCAACTTTCGCCTTGAACAGTCAATCACAATGTTTTTTTTAAACAAATTTTTTTTATATTTGAAAAGGTTTTTATTTTTTTTACTTTTCATACATTCTATCCACAGAATTACCCGGTCACCTGCACTCTCATTGGAGAAATGTAAAGGCGGTTGGTCGTTGTGCTGGCCACATGGCACTATCGTTAACCTTTGGTCATAGACACAGATGGCCTTTACATCATCTGCCCTATAGATCGCAAGGTTTGAGTGGGGAACTTTACTGCACGCTCATAGGAGGACAAAAAGGAGGACTAAGAATTATCAAGGAGAACAAATATAAAGACAAAGTCAACTTATAAACTCTAGAAACGTATCAGACAATCTTGAGAGGCTAAACTATGTGAAGTTTCACATTTCTGACATAAAGCAGCTAATCAAAATAGTTCCAACAGACCTTGCTCTGAAACACCGGAAACATTTTCGTAGGAAAGTAATTTGTAAAGTAAAGTGAAAAAAAGCGAGCCATTGCGTTCTACTGTCCTAACCTAACCTAGTTTTAATGTTTCTCATACTTATTAATTGCTACGATGCATATTATTTCACCGTATATCTTTTTTTTTTCTGTATTTACCAAACGACATTTATCAATACGAAGACAGAAGACAGATATTTAATAGCGTTGATACATTTACAATAAAATACCAAAGATGTGACCAAAATTATTTTAAAATTTTTTTTTTCAAAACATAGCGTATCCAAAGAGAAAAAACGCAAAATCATTGCCAGGTCTCAATACTGCAGGGTTTACCTCCTTTTTACTACATACAAAAGAAAATTACAATTAATTGATTAACTATTTGGTTATTTTTCTTGATTGATTGATGTATTGTCATCGACTACATCGAGCATTGGAAGTGGGAGAACAAAAACGTACAAAAACTTTGTACGAGACGGACAGACGGAGTGATTTGATAGATTTATAAAAAGAGAAATATTTTAACGTATAGCACTCTTAAAATAGGTCATCTGCGGATCGAACATTGCCATGTACTTAAATACATACAATCAAGTCTATGTAGTTATTCTATTTCCATATAGTCTTCCATTGGCACTCATAGGGAAAAGTCTTAGTCAGGAAATAGCAACACATTCACAACACTGTAAGATTATATTGACACTTATGAATGTACACAAACTTGTGCGGTCACTAGATTAAACTGTAAAGGCGGTGTTTCATGACTGTTAGGACCAGATCAAACCTCTACAGTTCAATGATTTGTCAAATTGATTTCTGCTCTGGTCACCACCTCACCCGTTTTCTCATTTCCCTCTTCCCCTCACACGTCTTCGGACGTCAAGTCCGAGTCGAGATTTAATCTTTTGACCAACGGTCAGATTTGACTGACTTTCTGGAGCACTGCCACAATAACTTTACAAAGAGACATTTGATGATTGTCTAAGTAGCAATAATTTAAAATATGCTTTTTTTTTTAATGTAACGAAATATAAGTTTTCAAGGCTTAGATACACAGTCAACAATGTCAAACCCAAATATTGCGTAGTTTTAATGTATTTATTGTAATTTCAAGTCCTTTGTAGCAAGTTTCTTGTCGACATTTATAATGTATTCCTTGTCGTTTAAACCGTACTTTTTTTTTTCAGTATTAGCCAATGCAAATTGTGTATAAACACACTTGACTTAAGTATTCTGTGCTAATGTGTCTGAGTCAGAAGAAATATTGCAACTGGAGGGGATGGAAGGGTCCGGGTGGGGGGGAGGGATAATATATTCAATCTTTACCCCTCCCCCTGCAACCTCTCTCCCATCAGCCAGGGCCTTGGCCTGCTCGCCACGAACTTGTGTAAACATCCATTCGTCTTGGTGCATCACTCCAGTAGACATCATAAATCTTGTCTGCACAAACATTGCTACAACACTGCTACAACACTGCTACAACAACTACATCAATATTGTGAAAAAGTAAAGGAAAAATTTCCCACTTCCGATTTTAAAAGGCATGGGCGCGAACGCCCTATTTGCCAACGTTTAGCAGACGATGGACAGATTAGAAATTTGTTTTAACACATCTTTTTTTTTTAAACAAAAAGTTTTAGATCAATATCTATGATAATGAAAACTAGCCATCTACAATGTTAATTATTTCAAGTGCGCTTGGTCTAGAAGTAAAATTATGATTGTATTTAATAATTTAATAGTAATAAATCACCTGCCTAAATAACATTGTAGAACTTTCCATGGCTTCTGAATGACACTGTAGAACTGGACTGCGACAATCCTAAGCTTATTTAACAAAAGAGCCTACGAGAAAGCTTAAAAGAAATAGTGGCCTGGGGAAAGTTTATTTAGAAACTCTGGGACACATGCACTTATAAAACAACTATCACCACTCAGTGAATGAACTAACGGCTGAAGTTAATCGTTCAAAATAGTTCAAGAAAGTTTTAATCAGCAGAAAAAGAAAGTCTTAACTGTTGTTGTTTTATTTAAATCTTGTAATAACTTATTTCACAAGCCGTTTTTTTTTTTAGGTATTTGGTTGTTGGGCGGATAGAAATGTATTACAATTTAAACCGAAAGTAAAGGCGAATGTTTATACTTGAATGAAATTACATATACTATTGATGGCTTAGCAGTTAGCTCTCACATATGCAGTTCTCTTTACAGTTCTCTCTTCAGTTCTCTCTCCAGTTCTCTCTTCAGTTCTCTCTCCAGTTCTCTCTCCAGTTCTCTCTCCAGTTCTCTCTCCAGTTCTCTCTCCAGTTCTCTCTCCAGTTCTCTCTCCAGTTCTCTCTCCAGTTC